TGACTCGGCGATTGGCGGGCATGCTGAATAAGATACAGGACGGATCTGCTATTCAGGACAGTTGTTTTGCGATTTTCTTATCGCTTTTGCATAAGGGAAGAGACGCGGAGGACCCGAGCAACTGGAGGCCCATCGCGATTTTGAGCATTGCATACAACATCTTCGCGAGGACCGAATGCGACCAGATAAGGGGGCGCCCCGACCCCCCACAATCTGAAGATCAATTCGGTTTCCGACTTGCGCGTTCCACGCTACACGCTTTTACCGTGTTCGAGTCTGTGATCCCTCAGGGGATCGAGTGGCACGTTCCTATTTGGGTGGTGAGCGCTGGTTTTTTGTAAAAGTTTTCGACCGCGTGAAACATGACGCCTGCCCGCTGGAATAGCAGGGCCGGGGCGAATATGCATCTCTGCCCCAAAGGCTGCATGATGGGCAGATTTGGCGCGTGGGGGGCCGACGTTTTCACATCCAGCGAAGAGTCCGACAGGGCGACGTGCTCAGCCCCGCCCTATTCAATGCGGCGCGGGAGGTGACAGTCGAGTGTAGGAAATCCTGGCCGACCACAAAAGGTTTCGTTCTGACACCAAACCCGCATGAAGCTCGGCTGACGAACATTCGCTACTCGGATGACATATTGTTATTCGCGCAGTCATTGGACGAGGCTGTGTCCATGCTCGAAACACTGTCCGTTGCGCTTGGCCGTTTTAGCTTGGAGTTGAACGTAAAGAAGACACAGTTTCTGACGACGGAGCTCGTTGAGCAGGTTACGCAGGTGATTACAGAGTGCGGCGCCATAGACATATCACACGCGGACTCCAAACACAAGTACCTTGGCAGATGCTTCGCAGGTTTGTTGAAGAAGCGTGACCATGCAGCTGTCGAGCACCGAATCGGCTGCGCTTGGATGACGTTCTATGATTTTCATCACGTACTGATGAATAAGCATATCAGCCTTTCTCTTCGGTTCAAGCTGTTCGAAGCAGTTGTTACATCAACTGTGTGTTACTCCCTCGTCACCTGCCCGCTGGCGGAGTGTCTGGGCCGTCGCTTGGACGTCGTGCAGCGACGCATGCTGCGCCGCATGGCGGGGTGGATCTCGCACTCGGACGACACCTTGGAGGACCGCGGCCGCAGGATGAAATTCTGGCCTAACGCAGCCTTGGAGAACTACCCCGTGCTCGACAGGAGCCACGTGGTACGCGACAGGAAGTGGAAGTTTCTCGGGCAGAAGCCATCGTGGCCGACATTCGCACGTCAAGCTGCCGAGTGGCTTCCTCCTGACTGCAGCGACGTGAAAAAGGCGAACCCTCTTCGGGGAAGAGGGAGCCCTACCACGAGGTGGGACGATTTCTGAGGCAGGAACCCACCGATTCGCTCTTTATTCTAGCTTTCTTCTCCTCCCCGTCCCTCCCCTCGTACAACGATACCTGAACGCGCATTTCTTTCCAGTTCCAATCCGTGCCCCGCATGGCGGCCGAACGCTGTTCGATCGGACCCAACGACGATGTAGGGCCCTCAGAGGCCCTTTCGAGCCCCAGAGGGGGTGCTTTCAAGGCCCGCAAAGCACACCTTTCTCCCCCCCATCATCGCCTTCCCATTACGCGACGCCCAAAGCAGGCTCGACATGCGAAAGAGCGCGTCATGTGGTCGCTCGGAGGGGGGGGGGGAACCGGACCCCCCCCCTCCCACGTGGACGTGGATGGGGGGGGGGTCCGAACCCCCCCCCCGTCCCTCCCGTGACGGAAGGGGGTGGGTTCGAATCCCCCCCCCTTCCCGTCCCCCTCCTCCTTATTTTTTCTGTTCGGGCCGGCGCCTGCGTCGGCGGCGGGTGGCGGTGGCGGTGGGCACGACGACTTCCTTTTCTGGGCCGGCGCCGGCGCCTGCGGCGGCGGGCGGCGGCGGCGGGGAGCGTCGACGAGGACGACGGCGACGACGATGACGACGACCATGATGCTCTGCCACCGTGCCTTGGTTTCGGGTCAGAGTCCGAATGGATGCCTCCTTGGGTCTCGCCGGAGAGCTCTCGGGGGCCTCTGAAACGGCATTTGTGCAGCCTCTTTGGCGCCTCTTGGGCGTCTCTTGGGGCCTCTCTGAGGTGGTGGTGGGCTTTGGTGGTGGTGGTGGGTTGTGGTTGTGGTGGTGGTGGCGGTGGTGTAGTTGGTGGTGGTGGTGGTGGTTGTGGTGGTTGCGGTGGCAGTTTGTGGTGGTGGTGGCTGTGATGTTGGCGGTGGTGGTGGCGGTGCGGTGGTTTCTGGTGGTGGTGATGGTGGTATTTGTGGCGGCAGTGGGTTCGGGTGGCGGTGGCGGTGGCGGTGGTGGTGTGGTGGTTCATCGTGGTGGTTGTGGTGGTGGTAGTGGTTGTGGTGGTGGTGGTGGTGGGTTGTGGTGGTGGTGGTGGCGGCGGTGGTGGTGGTTTGTTGCGGTGGTGGTGGTTGTGATGGTGGTGGTTGTTGGTGGTGGTGGTTTGTGGTGGTTTGTGGTGGTTTGTGGTGGTGGTGGGCTGTGGTGGTGTTGGTAGTTTGGTGGTGGTGTGGTGGTGGTTTGTGTTGGTGGTGGTGATGTGGTATGGTGGTGGTGGTTTGAAGAGGTGTTGGTGGCGGTGGTGGTTGTGGTGGTGGTGTGGTTGTTTGTGGTGGCGGTGGTGGATCGTGCTGCTGGTAGTTGTGGTGGTTGTGGCGGTGGTGGTGGTGGTGTGGTAGATTGTGGTGGTGGTGGTAGTGGTGGTGGTGGTTTTTGAGGTGATGGTGGTGGTGGGTTGTGGTGGTGGTGGTTGTAGTGGTGGTGGTGGTGGTGGTTGTGGTGTGGTTATGGGTGTGGGTGGGTTGGCGGTGGTGGTGGTGGTGGGTTGAGGTGGTGGTGCTGGTGGTGGTAGTGGTGGCGGTGGTAGTGGTTGTAATTGTCGTTGCCTCTCCGCCGTCGGCGCCGGCGCCAGCGCCAGCGCGGGGGGGGGAGGGGGGTTTGGATCCCCCCCCCTTTGGGCTGCCTCTGGCCATCGTCGCTGCGTCCCCGCCGTCGGCGCTGCCGGCGGCCGCCAGCGCCGGCCCCGGCGCCGGTGCAGGGGTGGTGGGGGGGTTGGACCCCCCCGTTTAGGAAGGGAGAGGGGGGGGTCGGGAGGGGGGGGGGGTAGGGGGAAGGGGAGTCTCCCTGGTTCTGATCGACGGCGCCGAGTGTTGGGGGGGGTGCCCACCCCCCGTCTCGAAACGCGCCGCCGAATGTTCCCAAGGCAAGCGTCCGTGAAACGCGCGCGCTCTCTCTCTCTCTCTCTCTCTCTCTCTCTCTCTCTCTCTCACATATATATATAGATACCAATATACATACATGTGCATGTATTTCCATCTATTTGTATACATGGAGATATAAATAGATAGAGATATGGTTCGATAGATGCTCCAGTCTGTCATGGCATGCGTTGTTATGCTGTGTTGTGTCATGGTATGGTATGACATGACATACGAGGCTGTGGCATGCTCTGCGTTGGTATGTGATTGTATGCGATGTGTGTGTGTATGTTACGATGTGCTTGCTTTGTCGTGCTATGAAATGTCGGAAATGTTTTGCCAGCTGGTGCGGTGTCATGTTCTGCTCTGTCATAGCTTCTAGTATTGTGCTGTGTTCTGGTCTGACATGTCCGAATTCTGCTCTGTTATGATATGTCGGCGCGAGGCGGGACACTCGGGGACATTCGGAGACATGGGGATCCGGGTTGCACAGTGGCGCGAGGCAGGATTCCCAGGGTCACTCGGGGGACCTGGGGATTTGGCGGCCGCGATATGCAGAATGGCGCGGGCGGGGACTCTCGGGGATACTCGGGGACCTGCGAATCTGGCGGTCGCGGCATGTAGGGTGGCACGGGGCGGGACTCTCGGGGACACTCGGGGGACCAGGGATCTGGCGGCCGCGGTATACAGGGTGGCCGGGTCGCGAGGGCTGCTCTTGAAATCTAGCAGCCCCAACGGGTGGGGCAATAGATCAGTACAACCCCTGCCTTACCGTCCCCCGTGTTGGTCCCAGGCCGCTCAGTCATGCTGCGCGAACTCAGAGGACGTGGGGGTTCATCATGACAAGGCGAGAGGGGGGGTGCTGAATGATGAGGGGCGAGTGCTAGAATGGCCAGTGCTGTGCGCCTCTGATCTAACCAGTGCGGCCTCCGCCAACGCTGCAAAGCGAGGAGTCCACATCTCATACCCCCTCGCCTCCCATTCAGTCCTCCCCTCCTGCCCACGAAGACGAGGAGAGAGGAGAAGGGCTTCGTGCTGGGGCTGTGGATGGAATCGAGGGGCGCGTCAGCGTTGCCGAGAGAAAGAGAGAGAGAGAGAGATACTGAGAGCGAGAGAGAGAGAAGGAGGAGGAGGACGAGGAAGAGGAGGAGGAGGAGGAGGAGGAGGAGGTAGAGGATGGAGAGGAAAGAGAATGAGGGAATATGGACTCCTTCCCCTCTCCTCCCCCATACTTCCGCTGCCCCTGCTGTTTCTCGCCCGGTGTCAGGTCTGCCCTCTGGGGGACCGCCCCGATTGTGCAAGAGCTGGCTGGCATGTAGACGACTGTCGTCCTGTCGGGTGACGTCCCGTACCCTCCCTCCTCCCTCACCCACTCTCCAATCGCTTCACTCTCCCCTCTCGCCCCCGTCTGGCTTTCTGGCCCTCCCTCTCGCCCCCGTCTGGCTTTCTGGCCCTCCCCCCCTCCGTCCTCCCAGGAGTGAAGGGCGGTGGCGGTAACTTAGAGGAGGGCACGGCGGAGGCAGGCGGGGCGAAGAAGCCGGAGGCGGGAGCGGGAGGGCCAGCGAGAGTGGGCGGCGGGGAGGAGGGGAGGAAGAGGAGGAGGAGGAGGAGGAGGAGGAGGAGGAGGAGGAGGAAGAGGAGGAGGAGGAGGAGGAGGAGGGGGAGGAAGAGGAGGAGGAGGACGAGGACTCCCTGCCCTCCCTCCCTCCCGCCGCCGATCTTCCTGGGAGCCGCTCCGGGCGCACGCTCGCCTCGCCCCGCCTCCCGCCCGCTTACTGATCGAGGGATTGGCGCGCCCATTCAGCCCCCAGGGGCTGGCCCTGGCCCTCCCCGCCGGCTCCCTGCCGCCCGGCTCCCCGCTGCAGCCGACGTCGCCACGAAGGAGAGGGGTCCAGAGGCAAGCCCAGATCTCCGACGATCTGACTCCATCTCGGCCCTCGGCGGGGTCCGCTGCAGGCCCCGGGGCATTCAAACGCCAACCCGGACAAGAAACTGCACCCGGGAAGCCTTCGGGACCCCTTTGGCCCGCGGATTTCGATAACCACATCGGCGGACGTCAGGGGTCGCTTCCCAGGACAAACTCTCCATCCCGACCTGTGTTTCGGGGGTTGCTGAAAGTTGCCCTGGCCCAAGGTGCCCCCAGTGTGCCCCCAGCTGTCTCGCTCATCTGTACAGTTTCTGGTGCCCTCTGGGCCCCGTGGGGCTTGCTCTGGAGGCCGTGAGGGCCTTGAACATCATGGGGGCATCTTTGGCCAGGGGCACTTCTAGCAGCACCCAAGTGTTTTCACGGCCGCCGGGGGGGGGGCCGCCTTCGACGGCCCCCCCCCCCCGCCAGCGGCGCCTGGGCCATGCAGCCTGCGCTGCCGGCGCCCTGCCCCGCCGGCAGCTCCGCTCGCCCCGGGCGGGGGCCGAGGCGGCCTCGCGCGCAGGAGGTGCGCTTGGGGAGGGAGGCGGTGGGGAGGGAGGAGGAGGGGAGGGAGGGAGGAGGATACCAGCCAACCTTGGAGCTGTCTTGGGAGTCTGAGGTGGCCCAGACCTACGTAGTTCCAGCCAGCAGGAAGGTCAGGCAGGTTCGAGGCTCTGGGCTCTGGTCCGGGAAGTCATTTTTAGCTTCTGTCGCTCTGCCTTTCTCAGCCTACGGTGGCCGTTTGCAGGCCATGCTGCCATGCTTGGAGATTGCAGCCTCTTATGCCATTTGTGCCGTAAATGCGGTTAGGTCCAAGCTATTTGCAGCATTGAGTACACTAATTGTCGTGCGTGCCCGAAGGCTTCGCTGTTGTGCTTATTAAGTGTTGCTGAAGTATGGATATTGCGGGTTAAGCCTAGCTGTGGTATTTGCCATTGTTGTCCATACTTAGCTGAACGGGGTATGCTACATGTACGTATCGGTAAATCATCTATCCGAACACAGGCGCGATTCTTCAGCATTATGTATAAATTTGACATATGTAGTATAAGAGTAGCTTGAGTTTAAACGAGGTTTAAGGAGAGGCTGTATAGCGAATGGTATATCCGACGCTGTCTTGGCTCAGAGCAGCGCTGCCTTATTTGCTAGGTGCACACGACTCTATACGCCCCGATTGGGATCATCGCACCAGACAGAGGCCACGTATATCTATGACCCATCTCTCCATTCCATGGTTTCTCTCTTATTCCTCGCTTTGCTTGCCATCCAGGAACAAGTTGTGGGATACATCGATACGTCTCCGAGGTCATCTTAAGAGTAGGGTCCCAGCTTGTTACTTCGTGGCAAAGCCATGTACATATACTTTGTCATGTGGTAGGGGTTCTGATACATATGCACGCGGCTGGCTTTTACATCGCGAAGTACATAACAACCTACCACGGCACAGTGGTGTACCCGACTGCGCTGGCTCTTAGCCACTATGCTCCCAACGCTTTGAACAAACTGGTATTCTACAGTTCAACACTTTGATTTCCCCACCGCGTGGCCGCACGTCACGCACAACCCTAATACCGATATCTATCCGCAAGTTGACGGCCACGTCAGACAAGACACCCAGTCACAACCCTACGGACGCGACAGTGTCCGATGATACGCAACCTGACATAATCAGCTACAACGTGACTGCGCACGATGTTAGGTTCGCTATATTTGGAACCATCTGGGCGTTCGCCGATCCAAGAAGTTTGCACTGACCTCCGCAGGTGTATGCTTATGTCGTGATCCGTTTCCTTCAAGAGTCGCGCACTCTCCCCCTTCACCCCCCTTCCTCAGAGGATGCAAGGATACTGATACCGCTGCCCGTCCCTCGTCGCCACGGCTGAATTCACCCCGAAGTCTTGACCAGAGCGCACCCCAGGAGACGCCCAGAGGAACAGCCGCATAGGTGCGCTCCTGCTCTCTTCCCCCTTTTCCCCCCCCCCCCGTCGTTGCCCCCCGCCGCGATGGCAGAGCGACGCCCCGGCCGCCTGGGGAGGCCGCTCCCCGCGGCGCCTGGCCGCCCCACCCGGTCGCGTGTGGGGCTTGCGGCTCCGCCGCGGCGGCGACCGCGAGCAGGCCACCCAGATTATTGCTCGGGGTACGGGAGAGAGGAGCGGGTGAGGGGGCAAGCCAGGCGCGTTCGCGCCAAGTTCGACACGCTCCCCACCTTCTCCTCCCGCTGTTGTTTGCCCAACCATCCTGTGGTGTTGGGTCCTTGCTTTGAAGAGACGGTGGACGGTCCCCGCGTCCCTCCCTCCTTCCCCCCCCTCCCCCCTCCTCCTTCCTCCTTGCGATTCACCCACCCACAGCACTTCGTGGCCCCATAAAGAGCTCCACCGAAGCCCCCAGTGGGACCGCCCGCACGCGTCCCAGAAACCCAATTTGGCATTTTCACCCATCTAGTATAGCGCTTCGTGGCCCCATAGGGAGCTCCATCGAAGCCCCCAGTGGGAACACCCGCATGCGTCCCAGAAACCAAATTTGGCATTTCACCCACGCAGTACAGCGTGTCGTGGCCCCCATTATAGGGAGCTCCACCGAAGCCCCCAGTGGGACCGCAAGCATGCGTCCCGGAAACCCAACGTGGCATTTTCACCCACCCAGTGCAACGCTTCGTGGCCCCATGGGGAGCTCCATCGAAACCCCCAGTGGGACCGCCCGCATGCGTCCCGGAAACCAAATTTGGCATCTTCGCCCACACACAGCGTTTCGTATGGCCCCATAGGGAGCTCCACCGAAGCCCCCAGTGGGACCGCAAGCATGCGCCCCGTCAGCCCATTTTAGCATTTTCACCCACCCAATAAAGCGCTTCGTGGCCCCATAGGGAGCTCCACCGAAACCCCCAGTGGGACCGCCCGCATGCGTCCCGGAAACTCAATTTGGTATTTTCACCTACACACAGCGTTTCGCGTGGCCCCATAAGGAACTCCACCGAAGCCCCCACTGGGACTGTCCGCAGGCGTCGCGGGAACCCAACGTGGCATTTTCACCCAGCCAACAGCGACTCGTGGCCACATAGGGAGATCCACCGAAGCCTCCAGCGGGACCGTCCGCATGCGCCCCGTCAACCCAATTTGGCATTTTCACCCACCCAATACAACGCTTCGTGGCCCCATAGGGAACTCCACCGAAACCCCCAGTGGGACCATCCGCAGGCGTCCCAGAAACCAAAGTTGGTACACCCCTCATACGTTTCGTGTCCACATAGGGAGCTCCACCGAAGCCACCAGTGCTACCGCCCGCATGCGCCCCCCCCACCCAGTGCAGCGCTTCGTGGCCCCATATGGAGCTCCACCGAAGAAGATATTCACAACTGCGATAAGTGGGTCCTTCGCCAGGATAATTCTAGATCTGCCGGCGCGTGTCACAGCGAACTTAGAGCTCCAAAGAGGACCCCATGTTTTGTTGCGCAACCGGAAAATTGGAGTTGCTGCGTACATTAGGGGAGGAGGAGGTAGGGGAGGAGGAGGAGGAGGAGAAGGCCGAGGAGGAGGAGGTGGCGGATGATCAGGAGGTTGAGCAGGAGGACGAAGAGGATGAAGAGGAAGAGGGAGGACGTGGACGAACAGCAGCAGGAGCTGAAGTGGAAGGAGTGAAAGGAGCAGAAGGACCCGGGGTAGGCGGAGGAGGGAAAAATGAAAGGGGCGAGAAAGATGAAAAATGATTCGGATCCAGAAAAGTGGCCCGTGTTATGGCGAGAGCGTCAATCTCAACAACGGGAGCAAAGCGCCGATCTGAAAATGAGGCTCACATCTGCAGCGGGAGATCTATTTGAAATGCCGAAAACAATCGGATAGAAGACGAGTCCACATTGCAACATGTCATCAAGCCTGGCTTAAACAGAAGACTACCACCCGCAGAGGGTTAAATATTTTCCCGGTACCGTCAAGGGAGCGAGAAGAATCATATTACACGTGCGTAATTCTGGAAGGCAGGGGGAGGGCCTTTTTTGGGGGAGTGTATGTGGGAGCGGGGAGGGGCCACAATTGTCCTCATCCCATCCTCACTGGGCATGGTACCTCAGCCCCACCAGCCCCCCTCCCCTCCTGCCAGGTGGAAAGATCGGCCCCACGAGACCCGAAGGGAACAGCTCACATCCCCACTTCGAGGGTACGGCAAGTACGATGCCGACCGTGCAGAGACGACCGTGACGATGATGAGGATGACAACATGGATGACGACGACGATTACGACGACGCCGTCGCGGACGACGACGACGACGATGACAACGGCGACGACGACAACGACGACGATGAGGAAAACAACGAGACCAATGACGAGGATGACGACGAAGAAGACGGCGACCACCAGGACGAAAACGACGAGGGCGACCAGGACGACTGCAAGGATGGCTACTCTGACTACCACCAGTGCGGCGAGGGCGACGACGGGAAGAACAACGACGACGACGACCCAAAAGACAGGCAGCCGTGATATCATTTACAAGAGCGATCCCACCACATGCAGAAAGAGGACCACGACGCCAAGAAGAAAGGACACGCCGACGCAATCAAGCGAACCAGCCATCGGCATTCCTGGGGCAAGGGGGCTAATCTTCGGGTCATCATGGGGTCATCGTGTTTTCGTTTGGTCTTCCTGCGGTCCCTGACGGGCGGATTTGGCGGCACCTATCAGGTGGGTCGGGGGGGCCCTAATTTGCGGGAGGGTCGGACGGGCGGACCTACATGGGCGAATACACGGACGACGACGAGGGCTTCCAGCAGGATTACCCGGACAACTACGATGACGACCACGACCACCGCGGCGAAGGCGACGAAGAGAAGAACAACGATGACGCCCGAACGACTGGACAAGAACAGCACCAATATGGAGAAGAGTGCAATGATCACAGCTCCAAGAGAAGAAGAAAAATCATAACGACGTCGACGAGGAGCAGAGAGACCACAGGACCACAATCATGTGACCGGTCCCTGCCGAGTCTTGGGCCTTGGGCCATCTCGGGGTCATCTTGAAACCAGGGGTGAACATGCTGGCCAACCTAGCAGGGGTCAGTGTCCTCGCGGTGTCATCCGGCGGACCGGGTCGGGCAGCCCCCAGTGCCCTGGTGGGCAGGTCAGTCGGGCGGGCGAACCGAAACAGGCAGGTTGGGCGGGCGGGAGATCACAGCAGGCAAGCGGGCATTCAGGCCAGCCAGCGGGCGGACCTTGACCAGCGGTTCGGGCGGGCGGGCCATAACGGTCGGGTCAGCCGGGCGGACCCTAGCGGGCAGCTCGGTGCGACGCCTGAGCACCTGGAAGTCCCACCTGGGGGCGCCCCGAACACCCCGAATTCGGACCCAGATCTTCACCCGGAGCACCTGGACCCAACACGCGCCCGTATAGCTCTTGGACCCAGAGCACCCGTGACATCTTGAAGCCTTCGCGGACGCATGGGCGGCTGGGGATTGGTATTCGTTTCTTGCCTTTGTTTCTCCTCCTGGAGACAGGGGTGCTAGTGGAGAAGAAAGGGGGTGGAGGAGGACGATGGGGCAAGGGGGGAGGCAGGTGGCGGAGAGGCAGGGGGAGAGTGAGAGAGGATCAGCAGAAGGTCGGCGGTGGCGAGGCGACGGCGACGGCGAGGTGACGACGACGACGGCGAGGACGACGACGCCCTTGGGGTCCTCAGGCTGCGGAGCCTGGCGGGGGGTGCTGCGTCGCGGCGGGCTGGCGGCCCTCGGCGAAGGCCCCGGCCGCGCGTGGGCGGGGCTGGGCCACGCGCGCCAGGACGGGCTCGGGACTGCGGCGGGCACCCCTCGCTTGTCGTTGTCCTCCTCCTCCTCCTCCTCCTCCTCCTCCTCCTCCTCCTCGCCCCCTCCTCCTCGTCCCCTCCTCCTCCTCCTCCGCCTCCTCCTCCTCCTCCTCCTCCTCCTCCTCCTCCTCCGCCTCCTCCTCCTCCTCCTCGTCCCCTCCTCCTCGTCCCCTCCTCCTCCTCGTGGTGGTCGTTGCCGCACCCCTCGTGGTGGTCGTTGTCGTCGTCGCCGTCGCCTCGGGGAGTATTCGCAAGCAGTGCTTGCGCTGGGCTGCGGCTTTTCTCTCAGCATTCGCCTCCTGGTGGATTGTCCCCTCGAGCTCTGGCGTACTTGCTCATGGCGTCCTGCCTTGAGGGTTCTACCTTTACGCTTCCTGGACCGGTCAGGAACAACACTCAAGAGCGGAGTTGTGGTTTTGAGATATTTCGCGATGTGTGTGTGGGTGTTTGTGTATATGTGTATGTTGCGTTATCCTCTTTACGCTGGCCTTTGGGCCTTCGTTCGCCATGTTCTCTGCCCGTCGCCATGATTGGGCACGGCGGCGTGGCTTGGAAGACCTGATCCGGGTGGGATGGGTGAAGAGGATTGGGCTGAGGACCTGGTAATTAGGATAGGCCTTGCCAGCTCATGCGTGGTTTATCTCTTCTTCGCTCTCTGCTCCTTTCCTGTCCCTTCTCTCGCCCGCCTCCCGCTGCCTGTCCGCCGTCGTTGTTGTTCAGGCACAGCTGGGGTGAAGTGCCCAGACCGTGGCAAAAATGCTTCCAGGTACTTCGAGGGGAAAGGTCTGGTTGTCCTATCCCTGCCCTTTGATTGGTGTTGGCATTCACGTTCATACTCTAGTTACCGTACTTGTGCTTCGTATGATGATTATTGTACTTGCGTCTCGTGTAGCGTTCAAGAGGATGGCCGGCAATGAATTGCAAGAGCGTCCGAAGATGCAGTCCACGAGGCCGCCACAGTCAATGGGGTATCCGCAAAAACCATTCGATCCCGCAGGTAGTGTGTTCATGTTGCCGCAGCCGAGGAGGGACCTTCCACCAGTCTCGATTGAGGTCGCCACGGACATCCCCAGCCTGAAAGCGCATTTCAAGAAAGAGCGTGCTCTTCTTGCCCCCAGGAGGTGTGGTGAAGAGCCGGACGTAGCCTTAGATCGTCGTTTCCAGCTACAGTCCATGATTGATTTGCGCCTTCCAGATGACAGGTAGGGCGTCTTGGTGCGAGGCGTGGACTCCACGATCAAGCGGATGGGTGGGTCACAGCAGCCGAACATATGCTGTTGAACACGCGTTTTTCTTTAAAGCATCAGACCACAAGACACCAGGCATAGCGGCAACGCTGCCGTCTGGGCAAGAAGTCTCTGTGGGAGCGCTTGGTGGGTGTGGAGTCTTCTGACGATGACAAGTGCCCACCGGGGGCCAACGGGTCCGCTCAGCTGATCCATCCCACGGGCCGTGCGCGCCGAAAGCTGAGTTCCCGATCGACGCTCGCGTCGTGCACGGGCGGGGGAAGCGCTTCAGACCAGGAGAGCGTCGTGACGGGCTCCAAGATGGCCAGAGATCAGCAGGTGTTCAGTGCGAGGTTGGCGTAGATTCGACGGAGGTGAGCGGGGACATCCTTCGGGGCATGCTTGCGCCTCCAGCGCCTGTGGCACGTCCCCCGCAGGAACACGCGGTGACTCCTAACCCCAAAACTCGCAGTTGAGCGCGCTACGCCGAGGAGGAAAGGCCGCCGACCTTGGAGTACCAGGATTAGAGGAGGATGGGCGAGACTTCCTTCAAGGTTTGGATGGCGCAGGCAGCAGCGACGCGCATTTCGGATTCTTTATCTACCTCGACGAGTTCTTAGTACTCGCATGGCAAGGCGTCTCCGCGCCCGAATGTTCTGCGCAGACTGCCAGATCAATGTTGGGAAACGGATCGCACAGGTGCAACTTGCCCGGCTGGGCATTGACAGAACCTCTGCAATATTCGAATTGTTCTTCCATCCGCCGCTCGCATGGGTGACGCAACAACGTGAACCCGGGTTCCCAGATGCCACGAGTTCCGTGGATCATCTCACATGGTGTTACAAAGATATCATCCTTTCGGCTGGTTGCATCTTGTAGTGGGTTTCGAATTAGCAAGGGTTGTGGTCAAATGCGATGGGGATGTCATGGAATGTGTTCTATGGGTTTTGTACGCGCACTGGCTCGCCTGTCTCGTGTGCAATATGTTGCACATCCAATGAACACAGCAGGTGCAACGGTGGGAGTTGTTCTGGAAACCGAACGAAAGCAAGGATCAGGAGCTGCCTATGGTGCGATACACGTCTCAGGGTTATTTGCGTTGTTCGCTTGTTTCGTGGCCACGGTTCAGGTTTCATCGTATTCTGGGGGGGTCGTACATATTGCGTCATGCAATCTGTCCTTCATCCTCTTCCTCATCATCATCGCGCGTCGCGTGTATGTGGGCCCCATATACATTCACTCCAAGTACACGCATCATCCATGCATGCACGCCAGGTACACGCATGGGGCAGCCAAGCTGGGGCGTGCAGACGGCATTCGCCGAGCGCGCCAGTGGCGCGGTGCATCTTGACCGACCTGACAAGCAGCTGCCGGCTCATGGGGCAACGAGGCGAGTGGGGATTCGCAACTTTTGTGTGGTTCTTATTGTGACAGTCGGTTGTACACCGACGCATCACACGAGAGTTCCGGCATGGCGGCTGAGCAGCGCGCCACATCCAACGTTGAAGCGCCATTAGGTTGCAAGCAGTTCAAGGCCCGACCGCATCGAGGGGGCGCGGCTCGTCAAGGCCGCCCTTGCGCCGCGGCGAACCGCCGCCCATGTAGCCAGAAACAGGAACCGAGTCGGTGCTTCCGGCGCGTGAACCAGAATTTGTCCGTGGTGCGTACGCAGGACACAGATGATGCGGCGTCGAATGCTTGTCGGCTGGGCACGATCCGCAACTGCCTCCAATTTGCCCCACGGCGCATTCGGTACATTTGCACAAGAGGCGCGCATATGTTCGCGCTGCTCGCGCTCCTTCACGCTGGGGATCCCCGCCAGGAGAAGGAGCGCATGGTGGCCAGGCAGCGGCGTTTCAATCTTTGTCGTTTACCAGGCAATGCTTATGCGCGGGATCTTCGCGTCAATGATGCATCGCTACCAAGCGCCAACATGGTGGGCAATGCGTTAAATTGCGCGCGCTCTCAGAATTCCCCCCCCCCCTCCTGCGGCATGGCGCCGAGATCGACGTGTAGAAATCGTCGCCACCACCAGTATCATCCTACATGCGCAACGTGGCCGGACGCAGGGGCGGACGGCGGCGGCAGCCTCGATTTCCCGCGCGCGTGGCTGTCTCGCAAAGGCGTCGGACGTCGATGCCCCTAACAACGGGCATGAACGCGGCAGCTCTGCATCCGCATCTTTCTGCAATGTTTGCCGCGGTGACATCGGCGCGCAGAGCCGCGTCGTTTCTTCGTGCTCATCATACAAAACAAGCGCATCTAAATGCGCATGGTGCCTTGTGGAGACTAGTGTATAGTCGTGGCTGCGCGCGTCCACTCAGAATGCCAGGGATTGGTGGCTACGTGGTTTGGGCCCACCACGGTTGCGGTTTTTTTGGCGGGATGGGAGGCGCCAGCAGTGCCTCGTCACGACGGAATACATGTTAGCAGGTAAGTACGCGGTGATTCCCATCTACAGGAATTCATCGGCGCCATGCGTCTCGTTTTCTCGCGGGTGGCAGAACAGAATGTTCAGGTTGTGCATGCTCGGCTCGTTTGTTAATTTAGCCAGTCCTCGCCTCGTCGACGCGCGCGCGCGGATTGACGAAAATGCCCGTCGCCTATTTTGCATTGGGGCCCGGGTGCAATAAGCCGCGGGGCGTCATGAGTTTGGGCGTTGCGCAGGGTGGCCAAGATTTCCCAAACTGTACGTTGAAATGCGCTCTCCCGGCTTGCATATCAAACCCATAAGGAAACCATTAGTTCGTTTTGTGCGTCGGGCTATACGCGTCGCGATTGAAATTGCGGGGGACAACGAATGGCGCCAACAGAGCGGCAAGTATAATTCGAAAGGCTGGGGTTCGGAATTAGGATGCTCAGGCGAGGACTCGCCGAGGTGGCGTCGTTTCCACTCGCCGCTCAAAACGATATACCGGCAACGTCTTCGGAAACGCCCTTCGGCATTTTGTTATTCCTGCCTCGCCGTGGCGCGTCCGAGATCGCCAGGGCAAGGCGGTCGCGCGTCGAAAGATCCCCTCGGCAGGAGACGGCCGCCGTCAACGAACGCCCGCCTATTGTGTCGCGCCTTTCTCATCGTTGCGTTCGCCATCGGGCAGCAGACGCAGACGTGGCTCCCCGAGTCCAATTGGTATTATGTTATTCACGAAGATGATATCGGGCCTGCGCGTCGTCTCGGCTAGAGGTCTGGGCTGTTATAATGTTGGGGCACATTGGTTGGATTCTGCATCGGCATGAGTTAGGGTGGTCCTCTCAGCCCTGGCGTTTGCGCTCTCGTGCGTTGCTTCCTGCAGCGCCGATGGGCCGTCCAATGCCGTGGCGTCGCTCGTGGCACAGCGTTGTGTAATCTCCTGTGGGTCGACGACCTGTACATTCTGAGATGCATATTTTCCCAGGCCGCATACCACGTGGACCATGATGCAGCGGGTCAGAAAGCGATCAGCAGCGCTGTGCATAGATGCACAACGTGTATCCATGAAAGAAAAGAGGACCATATGTTTGTGGATATTCGAGCTACTGCCCACGCTAACCACGCGTTTAAAGCCCAGCCTCATATCGCCATTGTTTTTGATGGGTCTCTGTCGTGGGATCGGCCTCGGTTTCAACGTGGGCATTCCAATCGTTGGGATCGCAGGTAGGCCCCTGTTTGTCAGAGTCGATTCTACCGATTGTTTCATTGACGCTGGGTGGGGTGTTAAACATATAGTA